TCCCATGAAAGTCCACCGTTTTTATTATTAAAGGATGCCAAATTGAAATTTTATTCAAATTCTTCATTCAAATCTAAATTTTGATAACTGTAAATATTGCAATTCATGTGATAAGATGCAAGAGTAAAGCCAAAGGGTATTATTTATTAGATTAGTAAGAAGGCCAAAATCTTCAAAATTCTCTCAGAAATCATTTATGTTCCTTCTAAATCCCTTCTCCAAATTATTCTAATAGTTTTATAATTATTTTTCGTTTTTAAATTTTCTCGCAATCTTTAAATATTCACTTATCCTCTTTCAATCTCCTCTCCAATACTACTTGTAATAGCTAGTTTACTTTGAAATATTTTACAGCTTGGAAAGATTTACAACTAAGTGGACCAAAATTTACAACTAAGTGCAGAAAGAGACGCTAACATAATGTAATAATGTTAATAAATATCACTAGTGAACTGTGATAAAAGAGTACAGTAGAGTTTTGGAAAGATTTATGGCAATTTTTGAGAGGTATTAAAGGATTTTAAATTAAAGGATTCAGCTTATCGCAGTATTTTTCCCAGTATCCTTGTGCATCAACCTTCATTATTAACCAAACATTTTATTTTTATAAACAAAGCCAAAACCAATTATGAAAAGATTTATTGCTTCGCTTTATGCATATGGAAGAATTGGCAAATTCTTTTTAACCTTTTGATTTTTCGCTACAAACGAAGAAGTCGAGTCCATAGTGCTCGAACTTAGTCAAAATAATACACTTCTCTTTTGTTTCTTTGCTGCTGCAGAAACTCTGTAGTATTGAATTAAAAAATCTTGCATACTTTCCTTACTGTTCTAATATTCATTCACAAATTTCACTATTCACCAATGCATATATGTTCCCATTAAGTGAAAATTGAACAATAGTTTGGTGCTTTGCGATCTACAGCAACTTTCATCAACACAGCGGTGGGATTAGGTGGAAATTTTGCAGGGATGAAGAGTCGTTTTTTAAAAATTAAGGTTTTTTGCGGCTTGAAAAAATCCTAGAAACGATTAATTTCACTTTGGCTTCGCTTTGTTGCAGTATTTTTATGTATATATAATTGGTTATAGGAAATAAGAAATGAAATGATTAATAAAAATAAATGGGAATTAATGATAGTAGCTAATAATAATTATGATAGTATGATAAAAATAATAATGCAAATGTTTTTTCTTCTTGGAATATAATTTACGCAAGTAGTAAATAAAAAATTTTTGGTTCGGTTAAGATTAGAATCATTTAATGAGAAGAAAATTGCGAAACAGCTTGCGACGAAAAGAAAATCGCCAATTTATTTCACTGAAAATCTATTCCAAGTACAATGAAGAAAAAGAAAAATAATCGAGTAAATCCTCAAATTTTCAAAAATTCAATGGAAAGAAAGAAATTTTCGAGCGAATTCCACCAATTATCTATCATTTTTTGCATTTACAATAGATGGGGTCTATTAAAAAAATTTTGTTATCGTCGAATCAACGATGAAGGTCACTAAAAAATTTTATTTGAGTCTTCAAATTTAGAAGTTTACCAAATTTACGAATTTTCATTTATCTATTCATTTAGGAATTTAAAAACTAAATAAGACCCATAAGAATATGAAATATGTGGTGCTTGCTTCCTCGTCTAACGCTCGCCATTTCTGGTAATTCCACTTTCGCTGGCTTGACGAACGATTTGACAAATTCCGCCACAGAGCCATTTGACGGAGCATATAGAAGCACAGTGATTAGTCAGGGTATTCTTGAAAAAGGTTTAGTCCTAATAGGTTCATTTTTAACCGCAACATCAGCGCTCCAAAATGAGATCGATAAACCACTGAACCACTTTATCCCCGTCTGGTACTCTTTTGGACTTTCCTTTATTTTTAGCTTACATTCTAATTAGACGAAAGCCCATTTTCTGATATTGGCAAAAAGTTGAAAGTGCTTCATAATAGATTCTAATTATTTTATGCCTTTTTTGATTTCCTTATTTTCGAAAGTTTATTTTTTCAACTATCAACCCGTTTATTTATCAATTGTTGATGATGATTTCGACTGTTAAAATAAGAATTTAAAATATAAAAGTGATTTCGATTATACTTCTTTAAAGGAGTATGCATTAATTTTTGCGTAGGAGGCACAAAAGTTTTCTATGGGAATTTCATCTCCAGCAATGACACGGGTTGCTTCGCTTTTATTCCAAAGAATAAAGTTCATTCATTCGTGATAAGCATCACAGATCGAAGCCACTTGTCTTCGACTGAAGCAACGCAGAAATTAGCCACTCTTTATCAAGTTGCGATAATTAATCAGAGCGGAATGGCCTAGTGGTACATTGCCTCGACGTGAGTAGAGCACCACAGGCTGATTCCAGTCTTGTGATGGGAATGATGGGAACCTAGCATCAAAAATGAAACAATAATGATTGAGGCCTTTAGTGCTTCTGTCAACCAATGATTCTTTTCTGAAGGAGTTTTATTTCAAATAGCCAATGTAGCCAACAAAATGGAAATTTTGAAGATAATTTGCTACAGATTGCTCTGTGATGATACTGCGAGAAATGACATCCTCATCTGAGACAAATGTTCATACTGATTCGCTTGACGAAACCTCTATGAAAAAGCAGTGCTGGATGGAGGATGCAGAAACGAAGTGGATATTTTATGATTCATTCATATTTTTTAAATCGTTTTATCATTTTATCATTTTGCTGTACTTTTTTACTGATTTCTCCTATAAGCTTTATAAGCCACATGTTTAATTCCAATGAAAAGAAATTAGTCACATTTTTGAAATAAGGAACATTATTTCATTGTTAGCATTATGAGACATATTTTAATAATATAGCAAATAATAATTATAAATAAAAAGTAATAAATAATATAAGTATTATGCTCTTCAGACATGAAATATACGCAGCATGTTCAGCATTTTATTGTATAACCATGACAATAATTGGATTGGTCCTCGAACTTTCGTTGTATGCAGATGAAAACTTTATTTCATCAAAGGACATGGTAAGTATAGATTTATGAAGCTCTATTTGATTCTATTTAATTTGTTAAATTTAATTCGGTGAATCTTTTAGTCTGAGAGTGTCCAATTGATAAACCAACAACTGAACCGACTACCAACAACAAAACAGATCTACCAATCTGTTCTATAGATAAGGCAGAAAATTTCGTTCATCCATTCTTTCTTTTCAAATCGATAAAGTGCCTATCCTTGCAGATATTTGGCTTCTATATGCGTGGACTGGGAATCCTCTTTTTTATTTACTGTTATGCAGTTTTAATCGATGCAACTACAACTTCAACATGGTTATCTTTTTCAAAATTTCCTTTTAGCGTGGTGGAGTCCTTTAGCAAATCGCTTCATATGGTAGAATAAAATAACCGTGTTCAGAGAGTTCGTCTTCCACTCACGATTAAAGCTGGCATTAAGTCCAAGTGCTCACGACTCACCTGTTCTCTGCCAAATGCCTCTCCACTTATGCTGCTATCACCAGGCTACTGCGATTTCTATTGATATTAATAGCTAGCGAAGCGTGGATTTAATTTTTTTGCTTCCGATTGAAGGGAATCCTAAATACTTCTAATTGCTCGCATTAGATTCATTACGCTTCTTAATCCGATGCTGAAAATGACCAAATCAATCCCGTTTGATCCTATACATCGTTTAGTCGGCTATAAATTCGAAATCTTCCCTGATCGTATCTTTGTTTTTAGCGGATTTTAAAATTTATTGATGGTGTAAAATATATATATGTATATCTCAATATAGCGGTAAAATAATTTCAGCTAACTTCGATGCATTTTTTCATGAACGGATTAAATTATCGTTTAAAAATAACTTGGCAAGCAATTTCAGTAAAAGATATTTAATTTAACTCGGCGAAGGAGGAGTTTCTTAAGAATGTTACCGACAAATATCGAGCCATCTTCATTCCGTGTCGAATATTTGCAGTTGTCTTCGTAGTATTTGTAGCTCACACTGTAATCTTTGCTCATATCTGCTTATCTCAGTAATGCTCGCAATTGTTTATTCACAAATAGAAATGCTAGGAAACAGTTTTTAATAGTGCTTCAAAACTCCATCGTTCTGATGCATATAAATGTTTGTATGTTTGCATGTAAGTAAAATATGTAAGTAAAAAAATATGTAAATAAGATGCTATTTGAAAACCAGGTAATATTCCATATGCCCGAAACTTCTTTATAGATAAGCTAATCTCTTCTAATCTAAGCGAACAATCATCTTTTAGATACGCAAGAATCTCTTTATCTTCATGACTTTACTTCGTCTCGTTTGTTTAAGAATTCGCTATTTTATCGGTTCGATTTCATAGAAGCATCACAGGTTGAGGAAAGTCTACTCTTATGCCGAGTAGCCAAAAACTGAAATTCTAACCTCGATAAGTACAACTGGAAATACTTTCTTCGATTGTTATAACCAATGTGGAATTATCTAGAAAGTATCACGAAAACAAAAATTCGTATCTGTCTTGCTATATAATATTGCCAAAGAGCGTGGAAGCTACCTTTATTTGATCTCCGTTGCCGAAGATACATTACTTTCTTACACTCGAATATCTGCATTAAAAATAATCTGCAGAGAGTGTCATTTTCGTCAGATTGGTTGTTTTTCAGCGCCCATCATAAAAAATTGCAAATATTCCGCTATATACTAAAGCTTGTGATGAATGGTGCCCAAAAACGATGAAGAACAATCAAGACTAGTACAGTAGGATAGGCTTTGAAATCGTAGACGGCGATAAAAGTGAAAAAATTTCCGCTGTCGCATGCCATCGGATGAAGAGATGTGTTTTACATATGTACTCAGCCTAATCCTAATGATCCGCGCTTTAAGAAGGGGAACAATTCAATTTATGTTCCACCACAGTAATTTCTATCATAATTGGAAAAATCATTGTTTTTTCTACAATTTTTGCAAGAAAATGTAATAAATTTGTGCATAAATTTTTTTTAAATAGGTGCAGCAAACTGGACGGTGTTAGAAAACTTCTTCGAAATTTTCGTCTAATGCCACTAAATAGCGTGACAATCGAAGACGAACCCAAAAATCAGTCCAAGGCCACCCATGATGGCCCAAGCGCTGGAAGTCTTTTTCTCCGATTCGGATGTATAGGTAGTTGGACTAAAGATTGGATAATTAAAAGTGTAGAAATTTGATGATATACTTGCTCATTATTCTTGCTGAAATCTTAAGTATTATAATTGTTGCATTTTACTAGTGTTCGGTATGATTGGGGTTATTTATTACCTGTTCAATGCTGTCCTTTGCCTCGGTCGCGAAAAATGTTATACAGTATCAGTAATATTAAATCTTTGCGCTGGCATCTTCATGTTTACTCAGATGCATTTCATTTTCTGCAACTGGAAAGTAAGTTCATCTCTTCCAATTTTTAGTTTTAAAGAAAAAACAAGTTGGCTTAGTGCTGAGAGTTCTAACTGCATCAGAATTTGATAAAAATCGTTTTATGCAAATTGGACCAAACTAATTGAATATTTTTTCAAAAAAATTTTAAAAATAATATTTTTAAAAATAATTGAGAATATCACAAAAATTTAACTATTTAACTAAAAATTTTTGTGAATAAATTCGATATTTAAGAAATTTTTTTCGGAGCAGTTCCAAATGTTTGGATCCCAAAGACTAAATTTATAAGACTAAACGATCCATATGATTAAATTAGATCGCATAATAGATAACGATTTTGCAATCGCCAATAATTTCCCGGTTTGGAATGATGCACTTGATATCAACGAACTTTTGGACATGGATGAGATACATTCTTATTGAGGAGGCAGTTCTAAGCGAAGAAGTCAGGTATGAGATCTAAATACAAATTTTAGCGCAGTTGTAATCATATAATGTTGATAATAGATTTATAATATAATGTTATATAATATTTAATTTATATAATATTTAATAATAATAATATATAATATTTAATTTGCGTATGTTATTCCAAAGTAATAAGCACTGTACTGCACTGCACTGTTGAACATAGGCTCATAGCATATCTGTTGCTAAAATTGACAAATAGTTTCCAGTTGCCCTAATTCATACTGGATATCTTTGTTTTGGTTCCACCAGGTGAATAGATTATTCTTTCTCATTCTTTATTTATTCATTAATGTGGCACAGTCATAGTTTAGTTTACCACTTACTTCATGATTTATTCAAAAAAGTCCCATGCTGTGGTCGTTTTATTAATTTTGGTTAGATGAAGAATTTTTCGACATTGTTTTTTGGATTTTCAACGAACAGAAAATATTCTTTATATCAATTTTGATGTCAGCGAAATTATGAATTTAATAAAATAACTGGAATGAATTTCATCGTATTCTTCTGCACCAATTCCAATGGTGATACGACTTTTTTTGCAAAAAGAATTTTTGTGGATATGGAAAGCATTTTTGGTTTTCAGCATGATCAAATTTCGTGACAGCCTTTGCAACATGTCTTTCCGCTAATTTAGGCAATAATAATAACTTTATGTACAAAAAAATTTTAGAGAGATCATTCATCAAAGAACACGAAATGAAAATGCGAGTAATCATTTCCATATATTGAAATTAGTCCCGGAAAGTAAGCTCAATGAATGCTCCCTGAGTAAGTTTTTAAATCGTATCATCCTGCTGATAAGAAAAATGTTGTTGACTTGATTTCCAATCTTAAAATTTCAGACTAAAATGAATTTAATCAAATTTAATTTAAGGATTTAATCAAATAAGTGACTAAATAAGATTAATAATGAAGATAACAGATAAATATGCAATATTTGTAACAATTTTTTACCAAAATTAATGTATATATCCTTGTCGCATGTACAATTAATTTAGATAGCATATCAAAATTGATGCATACATCAGTTGTCGAATATTCAATTATATGTGGTGCAATTATATTCGTTTTGTGGAGAAATATTGGTCAAACAAAACAAGAACGATCACTGAAAAGAAAATTTCAAATACGAATCGACTGTTCGAAAACATCGACCGGTAATTGTTTAACTTATTCAATAAATAAGAAAATCATTTAAATAATTTTAAAGAATAAATTTTAAAAAATCACATTTTAAGTAGAGTAAAGTGTCAGTATCTCAATCGGTTTATCCCATTTTTGTAGTTGAAATTTCTCTATATTTAATATTTCCTAAAATCAATGAAAGCTTTGAAGGATTATTTCTTGGATTATTGCATTTAACGATGACACTCACATCTTTGGCCATATCTTCTCTTTATACAACGCGAGGCTTAGATGAAAGAGCGAGCAACATCTTCGCAGTAACAAATATTGTCCAGGTATAACCTGCTACTAATTAGGAATTAGACGAAGAAACTCGTTAACCTTTTTTACTATTCCTTATTCTTTTGGTCATAGGGCTGAACTGAGATAATGGTAATTTTTTGCATATTGTAAGGAATAAAAAAAGAATAAATAATATTGTGAATAATACAAGAAAAAACAAATTAAGAGAATTACCAAAAGCTTCGAAAGACAGTCGTTTTTAACTTTTGTTTCTAGTTGCATTTCTAGACTTGCATCTCTGGCTTGTCGGAACAGACATATTTTATCATAGCAATGGAAGAGGTCCTCCAGCACTATCCAGATTTTTGAAAGATAACACAAGATACATGATACTACACTATTTCAAAACATATGAATAACTTATTAGCCTTATATTTAGAAAATTTCAGAATACATTAACTGCAACTGGTTGTTTTTATGCATTATGGCAGATGCGATTTTTTGAATATCGTAAGTCTTCGCTTCCGACTCATACAGCACAATCTTCTAGTCAGGTCGGTTATCTATTCCAGCTTTTTTTCAAAACAATAAATGATTTTTAGGTGAAAGAAAAGAGAGGTTCCAGTTGCAGCACTGAAAATCAATTTTCCGACATGAAATGGATGATATCAACAAAAATTTTTCAGGAATCTTTGGATTCAATACTTCTTTCTCTTGGTCTCATCGGTCAGATGATTTTTTTTATGGCTGGAATTGTTGGCATAGCAGCTACAAATAAATGGAATTCTATCTCTTTATTACTATTGTTCAAGCATTCAACTGGCCTTGTACAGGTCAACTTACGTATTATTCATTTCCTTATGAGTTTTTTACATCTTATATTATATTACATCTTATATCTTATATTTGTCTTATAGTCTCGAAGGCAAATTTTTTTGTACTTTTTAAATGAACGAAGCAATGATATGGTCAACAATTGGATTTCTAGATTAGCATTCGATTTTCATTTTATTCCTGCTTTTAATAGTACTACTGATGCTTTCTAAGCCAAAATTGACCAGTGATGACCAATTGACATGTCAAATCAGTTTATTCATCTTATTTATCGGTATAAAAAATTATGTAGTGCTATTTAATTTAAAGCCAATGCATTTTATCGAATCGAATTGAAATCAATCGCAGTGGTACTTAAATGTTTTTTGAACAGAGATTTATTTCCAGGCTTAAATTTTTGTCCTTCCCACACAGCCGATTTTGTTTCAGGTTGGTACACAAGGGAGCCTGATTTTTATCGCATGCAAACTTAGAATTAATGATGAACCACAGTCAAAACGAGAACAACCTGGAAAACAAACGATCACATTTTTATTAGTCGCTAATATTGGAATATTTCTTATGAATTTTTTCGAGGATGGAAGCGCTGGATTTTCCAAAGATGTTATTAGTTTTTATGGTAAAACAAACTGGATATATTTGGTGCGTAGCTTCGAACCGCTAATAATTTTTTATCGCTTCCATAGTTCAGTTTGTCTTGCAGAAATATGGAAAAGTGCTTATTCAATTAAAACGAATATTTCCCCTTGAAAGTGTAGTTATTAAATTTTTTTTTTGTGAAAAAATTATCGTTGAGCGGTCAGTTCATTTATTTGCTCTGACCTAAATCGATTATTTTTAAGCATTATTGTGAAGTTTTTTTTTCTCTTTTCCTGAATTCAAACAGAATTTTAAATAAAATATATGTATTTATAAAACTTATAATATTATAAGGTAAATAATCTCATAAAATAACTATGTTTGTCTTCGGCAAGAGTAAACCTGTCATGCCAGAAATCCGGGTGGTTGCTAGGATTCTAGGGATCCACCTCTATCCCCAAGTGACTCTGTAGTGAAGGGGTCCAATATTTTTGATACAACGTTTTCGTCCCCCGACGCGCATGATGCCCCCAGCCCGGTGGTTCATGCGACAATCCGGGATTTCAAGGCTGATAAATAAAATATGCTCGTAAGCTAGGGTAATTGCTCGAAACCTATCAAGGGCAACATCTCTGCACGCGTGGCGAGGTTTTAGCCTTATCAGCGTGGAACGTCAGAACGCTTATGGACGTTGCAAACCAAGCGATTATTGTCCACACCCTGTCTAAATATCGTGTGGATATCGCTTGCTTGTCGGAGGTCCGTCTTCCTCACTTTGGGTCTCGAGCAATTTAAGATGGGCGGGAATCTGGTTGATTTGCTCAAATTTATAGCTTTTTCGCCTTTTGGCGACAAGAGTAGAGATACTGGTTATATCACTGTGGTGCTTCAGATAACTCGGTGCGAAATGGCGTAGCGATTGTCATGTTTGATAAAGCCCTTCTGCCTTGATTAAGTGGAAACCGGTAAGCGACCGTATGGCCTATGTCCGTTTTAAGGCTGAGTTTTGCAATCTTCAACCAGATTGATTATATGTTAGTCAGTCGCCGTTGGAAGAGTTCCGTGCTAGATAGTCGTTCCTATAGCGGCGGGCAATTTTCATGGATCTGACCATGTTGTGGTTCGAACTAACATCGGCATAAAACTCGCAGGAAACGCATCTCCCAAGATCTTTCAACTATCTCAAACTAAAAAATTCGGGGACAATGAGCGCATTTCAAATTGAATTATTGAAGCATCTCAGTGCTACAAATATCAATGACTTTTCTGGAACGGCAAATGAATACTGGTCTAAACTAAAGGAATGTTTCCGAAAGTCAGCCATTTCCACGCTAGGGCATACTATTAAAAGATGTGCCAGTTGGGTATCGGAAGCAACTGTCCAACTGTCTGTCAAAGCAAGAATGTTAGGTGATCCTGATTACCGGATGCTTCTAAGATTTGTAACGAAAGCAGCACGGTGGGATAGAAATCACTATTGGAGTGATATGGTCTCAGGAATGGAGGCGGCGGCTCGATTAGGCGATAATAGGAAGCTATTCCACTTTTTTCATAGAGAAGAAATAATATCAGTTATCCATAAGCTTAAGACCAATAAGACTCCGGGAGAAGATGGTCTGTGGGGCCGAATTCTTTAAATGTTGTCCATCATCATTCATAACTAACCTTCAACAAATTTATTCTCTGGTATGGAAGAAAGAAATAATGCCAGATAACTGGAGCAAAGCAATTCTCCATATTCTTAAGAAAGATAAGAGGATATACTGTGGCAATTACCGAGGTCAGCTTATTAGACATGCAAAAATTTTCGTTTTCTTCATTCTAAATAAACTTATGGTACGAAATAGATGCGCCAAAACCATGCTAAATTCAGATCAAACGCGGTTATGCTGACCAAATATTCATGTTAAGAATTTATGTATGTTGGAATATCGCTCCAAATATCAGCAAAGCATCGCCACCTGTTGCATCAATGCAGTTGCTTTCGATTCAATTGATAGAGCAGCGCTTTGGATGATAGAATTGATAATCTTCCAGAGTTACCTCATAAAAGCATTTTATCAGCGTATATTGGCACAGACTTATGAATATGAGGGGATTGGAAGATCTTTATGAAATAAAAACTGGTGTCCATCAAGGCTACCTTTCTCTTATAATATTTAACTATGTGATAGACTGGATAATGGGCACCGCTTTTCGGCAATTAAGAGGTGTCCGAATCAGTCCAGAATATCACATTATAGATCTTGAATACGCTGATGTAGTCCTTTTTGCTGACTGTTATGACGAAATGCTAAATAACTGCAGCAAGAATCGCACTCAGGGTCAATGTAAATAAAACGACTCCTATATACAAGAAGCTAATAAAATACATATTTTAAATAGCCATGCAAAAGAAATTACAACTTGGTTAACGGTAGCTAGAAATCTGTTCTTCCGGTTGACGGAATCTTTATGGAGCCATCGCGAAATGAACATAAAAAAATAAGTTCGCGTCCCTATAGCTATAATTCATTCGATTGTATTTTATATGGCTGCGAATCTTGACCAATGAGAGTCGAAGATATCAAAAGATATCAAATAGATCAAAGCTTATGTTTTGCCAATATACAAGAAAGTTTTAGAGTTTAATTTTAATAATAAAATGTCGAAATTGGAAATGAAGCCTTATTTGCTTTTTTCATTGTATTATGATGATACGAATTAAATTTGTCCTTACCTATCCGTTAGCTTATTGTTGTGTACTTCATTAGTAGATTTGATTCAATTGTCTATCATGAATAATGTAAAATATGAATATTATGTAGGAAATAACTGCGATTACTTATTTCTTACTTATTATAGCTGGTTAATTCATGTTTTAATATTTCATTTAACTTTCCTTTTCGAGTTTGAATAAATTATTCTTTTTGCAAATTTATAAAGATTTTTTATTTTTGGCTTGTTTGCTATTTATTTTTATCATTGAAGCATACTCAGTTACTCATTAACAAATCGTTTTTATAGATTACTAACATCTAGCTTTTTTCATATCCTATTCAAGCAAAACATTGCTAATTTTTCAGTAGCTCAGTGGGTTGTTGCCTTCATTTCAGAATGCCGATGCCAGGGTTCGACTGCCGTCAGAAATAAATCTATTTATAAAGAGTCGAGTGGTGCTAGCTACCCATTTATACTTCTACTGCGAAGTGACTCTTTGATAAAAATTTGCTTGATCCGAGCGGAGACGAGCCTAGAAAAAACGGTGCATGGTATTGCCATGAAACACTTGTAAAATTCAATAAAATTATATTTATTGGAAGTTTAATCCGATCAAATGACAAAATAAATTTTTAAGGTAAATGGTGAAATAGGCGGAATATTCGTGGGTAATCTGCGAAATTTGACGCCCCTCGCATAAAAACGAAAGCGATTGCCATTTCCTTTTCGTTTATTATACTTTACATATACCATTTATTCATTATTTTCATTACTTTATTCATGTTTTATTTTAGTATTTTTTTTCTGCGTATTCACCTTTCATTAGATTGTTTTTAGATTTTCAAATTTTTTCTAATATTTGAAAACATTTTAATTAAAAGAAAGAAATAAATTTATATAATCAGTGAATTATTTCCATTTTCCATTTTCATTAATTTTATTATTATTATTGTTATTATTATTATTATTATTATTATTATTATTATTATTATTATTATTATTATTATTATTATTATTCAAGCCGTATTTATTTTTCTATCCAAAACAAGGAATTTCAAAAAATATTTTTATTATAAGTTTTTTAGTCGAAAAAAACAATTATAATTATTCGTTAATTAATTCATTTATTTGATATTCGTTATTCAAAATATAATAAATCTTTGAAGGACTAATTAAGACATTTCTAATTGAAATGAAAATATTTATAAGTTTATTTAAGCAAAAAATGCATCTTTTTTTTACTTTTTTTCCGTCTTTTCATTCATTATTTTGTATATTTAATGCAGCAGACGAGGCGAGGTGAGCTTCAGTGGCTTATTGGTCTCGTTTTGAAGCCCAAGTGTTAGGGTTCAGCGGGAAGAAATTAGTTCTCTGAGGGTGATTTTTACTAAATTAATAAACGAAATTAATAAAGTAATTGTGTGAAGCAATTAAATCAAGTTGGGAAATGGGAAAATTATTAATTTCTGATCATTGGTCGATTGAGAAACAAATGAATCGGATATTGGTGACGAAAATCGAAACCAAATATATGTAAGCGATCACTGACAAATTAGCAAATGATTTCCCACAAATTTTCCCATTATTCTTCGTTGGTCTTAATGCTCGCTTCCTTTTTTCCTTTCCACCTTTTTCCTTTTTTATCATTTCTCCACTAACTTAAAAAAGTAAAAGGAAATGCATATTCTCTCTTGTATTTGTATTTGTATATCCTTGTATTTGCGCTGTTATTTTTTCACCAACTCGCCATGGTTTCTTTTAAATGAGTAAATTCCAATATTCCATTTTCCGCCATAATTCCTTAGCCAAATGGCCAACAAATAATACGGTACTGGCAAAATCAAGAAAGGAAAGATGCATCATTGGTGAGGGAATGTCGTAACGATGAAATAAAATGTGAATGTGAAGAAAAAAGGCTGAACAGAACGAGAATAAAGAAAAGGGGAAGAAAGGAATATGCATACTGAAAGGCTATTCCGCTTCGAATTCGATGCCATTATTTGCCCATTCGACTTCGACCAAAAAAATGCTACCGAAAAAGGAACTGACAATTCCTATTAAATTATCATGAAATTCGATAAAATTCCTTCAATAGCTACGCAGTTGTGCTTACGATTTGAAGCGACGGTAAACATATATTGGTTATTCAACGATTTTTTCCCCTGCGATCATTCTAAAATCCACATTAAGAATATTTTTCTTGGTCGTTGTCCACTGAAGAATCATTGAATATCAAAAATAATGTTGAAAACCTTAAACTTTAAGATAGCTAAAATTTTCATTTCACTGATTCAATCCTTCTTGAGAAGTGAAGCAAGAACTGTGGACTTTAAATTACCTACATTTATGATCGAACCATTTATCAAACGAAGAGATATTCGATTTAGACGATGGAATCGAAACACTATTCGATATCGCAACCAGAACAACAAAATATATTTATTTATCAATATCTATAATAAATTTATCAT